GTTACATTATGTGAAAATTAAATAATTCATTTAATTGTATTTCTTATTTAATGTTACACTCACTACCTAGAGATATTTTAACACCAGTAATACTAAATAGCATTATTCTTTGAAGATTAAGAAGAAATGCACAAAAACAATATAAAATTTCTTTAAAAACCTCTAACATTACCTACCCTAACCTCCTTAATTTATAATTGTTTGCAGGTTAGTTATATTAATGATTACTAAAATCTTGAGTAATTGAATCAATGATCACTGAATTTGTTTTCTTATGATATATAGTCACTCAAATTCCTAATAGTTACACTAATAGTCACTTGATGAAAACATTAATGTTAAATTCAACGTGATGCTATTAAGTGTCAATATATTACCAAACAACGTCATTTATTATGCAAAGTTAGCAAAATTCATTGTTAAAAAGATACATGAGTTCATCCTACGAATTAAGTTCCAAAAATTTTACCAAACCTAAAGTATATTACATCATATAAATATGTTTAACCCCCATTTCCTAATTCTCCAATTTTGCTAATGTAGTACATAATATCTTTTGATAACATATTACAACCCCATATATTGAGAATAAATCAGAATTCTGGTGGAGAATAGACCCTCAGCTTTTGCAACTGGGACTTTCACTTAACATTGACTTTATAACCGAGTGATTGTTAGTATAACATTTAGAAGCTTGAATAATTAATATCATAAGAAAATTATTTCAATAATCATTAGCATTGCTCTAAACTTCAGTATTCATTGTCGTGATTTATTCTTTATGTTCATACTTTCCAACCTTCATATTTTGCATCAAAAAGACTATAACATGAAATATTAGTTTATTTCTCTTTTTACTTCAACACTTTGGTTCTTCAACATTTAGTCCTTGTTCGGTAAATTTATTTTTTGCTAAATGAGTGGTCAAATTGGTTAAATTTAATTTTCAACCATAACTTTCATCCATTTTTTAACTCTACATTTCATGTAACCCACCTATTTTTATCCACTTCATTTACTAAAACTCTATATCAAAAAAACTCTTAAAAAATTTCACAATCTATACATGTACAGTGATATCTTAAAACAAAAATGATTATCATAGGCAGATATATATTTCTTAACATGTTCATAATAGCTCATAATCTACTGCAAAATCTTCAACACAGTTGGCCCAATTATTATTATTATTTTCCTTAATCTCTACTGATTTTGTAATATAGGTAGTTTCAAAGTATTTTCCTTAGCATGTTCAACGCTATCCTATGCAATCCTCTCATTTATATGCGCACAAACATTAAAATATTTCCTTAAACTCCTCGAACAGCTACTAGTACCCACCAAACCTCCTTAATATATGTTTTTTTTATTTCACATATTCCCACCCATGTCATAGCCTCATTTTGCGTTCAATATAACGTTTTAATTTCTCTTTTTACTTTAATACCATTTAATGTTATCCTATGTAACCCTCTCATTTTATGGTGGAAGAAATATAATCAGATTAGAATAATACTCAATGTTACAATATATAAGATTTTAATTATTCACAAAAATAGTTGGGGAGTTTTATGTCTTTTCACAATAAGTTTTTAACTAATTAAACTAGATATTAATTAACAGGTTGGAAAAAGTGAAGCTGAGGACAAGCCCTGGAATTATGAAAGTTTCAGGAGTAGCACTGTGTTTGGGAGGAGCAGCAACCATTGCCTTGTACAGGGGTCCTATCTTGAAACTTTTGTTACATCATCATCTAATTAAAAGTCATCACCAACAACTGGAAGGCCGTGCAATTCCTTCTACCCAAACATGGATTAAGGGTGTCTCACTTATGCTGCTTTCCAACATAACTTGGGCGTCGTGGCTTGTATTACAGGTATGGTCTTCGACTAAAATTTGAAGCCTCTAATATGTTTATGTTGGAGTAGACAGAGTGCGCTTGTGGCAAATGATCATATCTAGTCGAGTTTATCATACATGTCTTAACATTCTAGTGACAGTTGACAACATGAAATTTAAGTATTTCTACTTTCTTTCCCTTCTCTATCTTCTAGACCCCGACTAAGTTGAAACTTTTGGTGTGTACTGCAATAGTTCACATATTTCTGATTTTCAGCCCGGTATCCAGATTTAAAATTTAAAAAATAAAAAATAAAAAATAAATTTCTACCACGAATTCTCTCAATAACATATTTGAAAGTAAATTCTAAATTTTTCCTACTTTTTAACCCCCCCCCCCCCCCCC